AATTTCCAAGATCAACCCCATTCACAATAGTTACAAAAACATTTAAATACCTTGGAATTAATGTAACCAAGGAGATCAAAGATCTCCACAATGAAAATTATATAACATTAAAGAAAGAAATAGAAGAAGATGCAAAAAAATGGAAAGATCTTCCATGTTCATGGATTGGAAGAATTAATATCATCAAAATGTCCATACTACAAAAAAGCAATTTACAGATTCAACGCAATCCCAATCAAAATACTAATGATATCCTTCTCAGATCTACAAAACCGAGACTAAAATTCATATGGAATTTGAGAGACCCAAATAGTTAAAGCATCCTTATACAACAAAAACAAAGCTCGAGGCATCACAATACCAGATTTCAAGACATAATACAAGACAGTTATAATCAAAACAGCCTGGTACTGGTACAAAAATAGGTGGATATACCAATGGAACAGAATGGAAATTGCAGAAATCAGCCTAACATCTAGAACCAAGTTATCTTTGACAAAGGAGCTAAAAATCACCCCTGGAGCAAGGACACTCATTTCAAGCAATAGTGCTTGGAAAACTGGATCACCATGTGCAGATGGATGAAAAAAGACCCTACCTTACACTTACACTTAAATACACTCAAAATGGATCATGGATCTAAATCTGCAACCTGATACCATCAAATTACTTGTGAACATTGGTGAAACTTTGCAAGACATTGGCATAGGCAAAGACTTGATGCAAAACACCCCAGAGGCACAGGCAATCAAAGCCAAAATTGACAAACGAGATTACACCAAGATGAGAAGCTTCTGCACGGCAAAAGAAACACTCAGCAAGTGAAGAAACAACCAACAGAACGGGTGAAAATATTTTCAAACTATGAAACTTATAGGGGCCGGCATTGTGGCGCAGCAGTTAATACCCTGGCCTGAAGTGCTGGCATCCCATATGGGCACCAGTTCAAGACCCAGATGCTCCACTTCCCATCCAGCTCTCTGCTATGGCCTGGGAAAGCAGTGGAAGATGGCTCAAGTCCTTGGGCCCCTGCACCCACGTGGGAGACCCGGAAGAAGCTCCTGGCTCCTGGCTTCAGATTGGCGCAGCTCCAGCCATTGTGGCCAGGCAATAGCATAGAGCAGGATTGGAAGACCATCAGCCAGGACTAGAAACAGCACCTATACGGGATGCCGGCGCTTCAGGCCAGGGCTTTAACCCACTGTGTCACAGTGCTGGCCCCAGTATCAATATTTTTTTAAGATATAAATTCTCCAAAATCCTTATATGGATTCAATGCAATTCCAATCAAAATCACATTAGAATTTTTAATTGAAATTAAAAGCTATTTCTAAAATTTATATGGCAGAAAAAGATTTAGAAAACCTGAAACATCCATCACTGTATTTCAAGACTTACTCTGGAGCTGGCGCCGCGGCTCACTAGGCTAATCCTCTGCCTGCGGTGCCGGCACAGCGGGTTCTAGTCCTGGTCAGGGTGCCGGATTCTGTCCCGGTTGCCCCTCTTCCAGGCCAGCTCTCTGCTGTGGCCTGGGAGTGCAGTGGAGGATGGCCCAAGTGCTTGGGCCCTGCACCCACATGGGAGACCAGGAGAAGCACCTGGCTCCTGCCTTCGGATCAGCGTGGTGTGCCAGCCGCAGCGCGCCAGCTGCAGCAGCCATTGGAGGGTGAACCAACAGCAAAGGGAGACCTTTCTCTCTGTCTCTCTCTCTCTCACTGTCCACTCTGCCTGTCAAAAAAAATAAAAGAAAAAAAAAAAGACTTACTCTGGGCTGGCGCCACGGCTCACTAGGCTAATCCTCCACCTGCGGTGCTGGCACACCAGGTTCTAGTCCCGGTTGGGATGCTGGATTCTGTCCTGGTTGCTCCTCTTCCAGTCCAGCTCTCTGCTGTGGAGGATGGCCCAGGTCCTTGGACCCTGCACCCACATGGGAGACCAGGAGGAAGCACCTGGCTCCTGGCTTTGGATTGGCTTTGAATTGGTGCAGCACACCGGCCGCAATGCGCCAGCTGTATCAGCCACTTGGGGGGTGAACCAACAGAAAAAGGAAGACCTTTCTCTCTGTCTCTCTCTCTTACTGTCTAACTCTGCCTGTCAAAAAAAAGACTTACTCTAACACTAAAGTTATCAAGGCATGGCATTCAAGAAGGGACAAAGGTCAATGTAACAGAATAAAGAATCAATGCATAGGCATATATTATGTCAACATTATGTTAACATTACTTTGACAAAAGTGCAAAAGTAATCAATCAGGGAAAAAAGCTTTTTCAATAAGTAGTGATGGAATATACTGACACCCATAGTCAAAATAATGAATCACAATCCATACATGAAACCATACATGAAAATTAACTTCAAATGGATCGCAGTCATAATGCAAACCTAAAATGGTAAAGCTTCCTAAATAAAAAGAGAAGAGTTAGATGAAAATTTCTTACATGTAGAACACCAAAAGCATGATCTGTATAATGTAAAAATGATGGAGTCTGCCATCGTGGTGCACATTAAGCCACTGCTTACAATCCTGCATCCTATATCCAAGTGCTGATTCAGGTCCCAGCTGCTCCATTTCTAATCTGGCTTCCTGCTAATGCACTTGGGAAGGCATCAGCTAATGACTCAAGAACTTGGCCTCTGCTACCTATGTCTGAGACCCGGATGGAGTTTGTGACTTCTGGTTTTGGCCTGGCCAAGACCTGGCTATTGCAGCTATTTGGGAAGTTATCAGTGAAAGGAAGATTGTATTTCTTTCTCTGTCTCTGTCTCTTTCTCATTCTCACTCACTCTGTCATTCTACATTTCAACCAAATAATAAATAAATCTTTTTAAAACAAAAAATAATTGGACTTAATAAAAAATGTAAAAATTCTGCTATTTGAAAAAAAATTTAAGAGGATGAAAAGGTAAATCATAAACTGGGAGTAAATATCTGCAAATTACATAGCTGATATTGGATTTTTATCTAGAAAGTAGAAAGCCCTCAAACCTACATTAAGGGAAAAAACAGCTCAATTTAAAAGGTAAATAAAATTTGGATATGTCTCTAAAGAAGATTTATCAAGGGAAAATGATAAATGAACACATGAAAAGGTGCACAGTATTATTAATTAGTAGGAAAATGTAAAGAAAAAAATAACAAGATATTACTGCATGCTTAATAGAATGACTAAGAAAAAAATGAAATAGAAACTAAAAATATGAAGTGCTGACGTAGATGTGGAAGAAATAGAGCTCTCACGTATTTCTGTTAGGAATGCAAAATGGTACTGTCTCTTTGGAAAACAGTTTCCCAGTTCATTGTAAAGTTAAACATACAAGTCACACGGCTTAGCATCCTACTCCAGAGTGTTTTCTCAAAAGAAATGAAGTCTTACATTCACACAAAAGCATGTGCACAAATGTTCACAATGACTTTATTTGTAATAAACAACAGTGGAAACAAATGTTCCTCAGTGGGAGAACAGAGGAACAAAGTGCACTATGTCCATACAATAGAATACTACTCAACAAATACAACAAAACACTGATAACAAGACGAATGTGATTCAAATGCCTATCCTAAATGAAACAAGCCTGATTTGAATGTCTCCAAACTGATTTCCATGTGACATTTCAGAAAGAGCAAAATGATAAAGACACAAGACAGATCAGTGGTTGCCCCATGTTGAACATAGGGAAGAAGTTGATGCTAGAGAGTAACAAAGGAAAATTTGGGATGGGAGGCAAAGCAAGTGTTCTATAGTTTGATGTTGGTTGCATCACTGTGTGTGTTTTTCAGAACAGCACAGGAAGTAGGGTAAATCCAATGCAATGCAAACTATTTGAGTACTAAATATTTGTTTATATATACTTATAATTTCATAAATTTAACTGAATTTATAAATTATTATTTAGTAGCAGAGTTTTTAAAATGTGGGTTAAAAAAATTCTGAAAAGCTGCATAACTATTTACCATGTGAAACTCTAGCCATTATAGGCTAATACTTGCTGCCCTAAATGATGTTGAAATATACAAAGGGGAGAAGATTTAGAGATTTTATTAAATTAATGTTTGTTAATGTATAACTAGATTCTGGTTTCCTCCACAGATTAATTATTGTTATTGTTTTCTATTCTACTTCCTTGTAAATGGCACTGAGAATTTGAGATGGCAGCCTAATTGGACTTTATACTGATAGATTCTGATTCAGCAGGTCTGCGGTGGAGCCTGACAATCTGTTCTACAAACAGGTGTTTGTGCTATACCGCCAGCACCACCCATACAGTACAACTTGAATCCAGAGAGCAGAAGGTCAGTTGCATGTGGGCCAGCCAGCTTGCAAGGCTAAAAGTTAAGCTAGAGTCTGGGGGCCCGAGTCAGAACTCAAAGTATCTGCTTTACTGCATAGGGCTATTCTGTCTGCTAATCAGAAAGGAAAAAGGAAAGGAAAATATGTAAGGGGCAAGAACAAGGACGAGTGCCCTGAGTGCCTTCATATGTAGTATTTGCAGCCTGCATGATGGCCACGTAACTGAGGAGGAAACTCTAACCTGTGGCTCAGAGAGGTTCTTAGAATTCAATAACAAGTACATATACATATACATATTACAAATATCAGCCAGGAGAAGAGTATAATCACATTACTGTGCTCCATTCTCTAATACAAACCACCGTCCTTTACAAACACTATTGCCAAGTAACTATCTCATTTCCCAGTGGAAATACAGTTGATCTGTTAGTTTAAAAATTCTTCCCTTTCAGAGTGACCCAGCCTAGCCATTGGTTTGGTAGTAGGAAAGTCATTGAAGTTTTGGGCCATCTCTGTAGTGGCATCTATCTCTGAATGCTGTAACTTCTAACCTCTAAGACTGGGAAATAATTCTTTAAAAATAAATCTTCACTCATTGGTATATTTCTATAAGAATGCACCATAACTCTGTTTGATAACATTTAGTGGTATGGTTTAATTGTCTCTGGGACATGAAACTTTGTCACCAAACTTCTGTTTCCTTATACTCACCTTGAAGAGAAAGCTCTCGGCATGATAATGGATGGTATGAATGTCCACTTCACTTCCTATGCCTAACAAGTACCAGTTTGTCATTGTATCTTCATTCATTATGAGGCCATGGAGATTCCCAAAAATCTTCCCATTGATGGCTAAGAGGGAGAAAAGAACATAGTCTTTGGTTAGTGAAAAAACATACTTATACTTAATTTGGTTTTAGATGCGGTTCAAGAAGATCTTTAGATCATCAATATGTTGATCTACCTGATGAACAGGTAACAAATTTACTGACGTTTACCAATGCCCCTAACACCCTAGACCCATAATTCATATTACCATGAAATCTTTATGCAAAGAGAGCCAGAAAGGGGACCTTGTAGTTTGATTTTTAAAGCTACATCTGGGGTGGCAGTGTTTATTCAACATAATCTCTTTCCAGGCTCATGGGTGAATAGCCATATCCATACCATTCTATGGATAAGTGAACTATGGCACAAAGAATCAACATTATAGAAATCAAAATGGAATGAATTAGAAGGTATTTTCTTAATATTTCACTAGCTCAAGCTTGGCTGAATCTCCAAAAGGAGAATTTCAGGTGGACTGAACCCATGATCTAACAATGACCAAAGCAAACTGGATTTCCATGCTGTGATTCTGATGTCTCCACTATTTATGAACCTATGCATCATGACAGACAATCAAATGAGTAGCATTCATTAGTCAAGGAGAGCAGAGTGAGAAATTTTGGGAGAGGGCAACAAAATGGAGAGGTGAAAGAGTGGCTGAATCAGAAGCCAGGCTACTTTGTTTGAATCTCTATTGACAACTAGCTTTGTGACCCTGGACAAGGTCTATATTTTTATATACTTCTGGGCAAAAGTAAAACTTGGTGAAAATTGATGGATATATCAATTTGAACACATTACTCCAGTCACACTATCTGAAATGACCAAGAATCTTAAAATGTAGATACATTGAAACAGAAGTTTGGTGACAAAGTTTCATGTCCCAGAGACAATTAAACCATACCACTAAATGTTATCAAACAGAGTTATGGTGCATTCTTATAGAAATATACCAATGAGTGAAGATTTATTTTTAAAGAATTATTTCCCAGTCTTAGAGGTTAGAAGTTACAGCATTCAGAGATAGATGCCACTACAGAGATGGCCCAAAACTTCAATGACTTTCCTACTACCAAACCAATGGCTAGGCTGGGTCACTCTGAAAGAAAGCTCCAGAACATTTTCTTCAGTTTCGGTGCCCCCAGGAAGGAGAAAGGCTCAAAGAAGGAGGCTGCAAGCTTCCTGCAGTTATAGGAATTCCTCTGATTCTATCTCAACAATGGTCTTTTTAAACTCCTAATATACCATGCATTTTGTTGCTCTCCTCAAAATCATCACTGCGCTTAAAATCTCGCGGATCTTTGTTGAGATACTTCTTAATATTGTCATCCAGATACCAGGATTCATTCTCATTTACCACCAAAAACAAGAGTGCAAACTCATAATCGACATCACTTCTTCTTCCCTTTTCATTCAATATTCCTTCTCGGCATGTAATCAGAGGACCCATCAAACCGCTGTATGTATCCTGAAAGAAAAATAAACAATTATAAAAGCCATTAAATAATTGATTCACATACCACCATCCACCATGCTACTGTAGGCTCCTACTCCCCCACTCTGGACTAGAATTCAGGTCCTCTCTGGTGTCAGACTCACTCCATCTCTCACCCATCTTGTTGACCACCATCTGATCAATCTCGACACTTCCGTATCTAGAAGTCTTCAGAGACTTTCTGCAGCCTACAAAATAAACTTCAAATCCTTAACAAGTCCTTAAGCCCCTCTGTGTGTTCCTTGATTGAACTTCTGGCTTAGGCTTCCCGTTGCTCCCTTTGGACTCTATCTGGTACACAAATGAGACTCTACAAGCTTCTCCAACATGCCTCATACTTTCCTGTCTTCAGCTTTGCTCATGATATTCTCTCTCCCAAGACTCTCTTTCCAAAGCCTCCTTTGGCACCCTAGATCGCCTCCTGCTCCTATAGAACTCAGCAAGTTCTTAGCTGTATTTTAGTTATAAGTGTAAACATGTATTATTTTCCCCCACAAAGCTTTAAGTTTCTCCAAGGCAAGAATATTTTGCATCGTTCATAGTATTTGATTATTTGCACATTACAAATGCTTAAACAAATACTCATTGGGATGCATGAATGAATGAACAAATAACTATGTTTCCCATAATTCTAATATGTAAGTTTATTTTTTAAGCATCTTGCATATATGTCTCCAGAACCCCAGCACTGTCCAGTATAACTCAAGGACATTAATACAAGCCATTTAATAACCAATAAAAAAGTTAAGATAATATTTCACTTTATTATAATGGATAATGCTTACATATTATATCAGATATGACTTTAGTTTGGACTTTGGTTTACAACATGTAATTAAATACAATAGTTGTTTTACATACACATATCTGGCTCAGATAGAATTGAATCTTTGCCATTATAATATGCCCTATTTATCATTCTACTAGTTTCGTGCTTTCAGATACTATGTTTAAAGTACGTTTACTTTTCTTGTGCCCTGGTAGTTTTGGTAATGTCATTAAAATTAATAACTCACATATGCAACATCATCCGTGCATTTCATTCTAACATACTTTCACTTATTTTAATGTTTTTACATATCCTATTCTGTTTCAAATTATCTGTAAGTTCTAAATATGGTACTGAAATATTGTCTTTATTCCCCTAGACTTTAACTGAAGAGTCAGCAAACACTATTTTTTGTAAAGCACCAGATAGTAAAGATTTTTTTACTTAGTGGGCCATGTTTTCTCTCCCACAACTATTTAACTTTTGACTCAACCACAGACAATGTTAATGAGTGAACATGACTGGATTTGGCCCCTGGGCCATACTTGGAGCCCTATGCTATAAACCATTGCACCCCTTCACTTATACCAACCCGAGTTGTGATGACGTGCATAGTCAACTTACAGCCACATTACTTTAAGCATTTTGGTTGCTCTCTCCCCTTTACCTTCACAAAGTTTACTGTTGAATAGTAAACCCATGGAATACAATTGGGATCAGAGGGCCCTGGACCAGATCTTTTAGGGACATTCCATCTGTAAGTTTTTATTTCTCCTGAAATAAATGAGAAGAAATGGAAAGAATTTACTAATGTTTTGTAGTGTTTGGACCTAGAAAAGTACAAACTGGTCTTTATTCACTTTAGTCAATGTGTGTTGCTAGAAAGAATCACCCAGTCATTAAAAATTGCCTTTTTAAGCTCACACATTGATTTCTATAATTTCAAAGTGAAATTTTGTCATTTCTGACTCCAGCCTTCCTTCTAATGTGCCTTTATCATTTGTCAACAGGTATATTTTCAGATATGAAGATGTGATTTATACTTCACTGTTTTTCTTCTTCAAATTTTGTATCTTCTGTTCAGGAATTAGCCTTGAGCATACTTTAATCATCAATAATCTCAGCCTTGGCCTTTTATGGGAGTCACCAGGGAACTTTCTAAACTTTCAGTACTTAAGTGCTCAGGCCTCACCCCAACCCAGTGAAATCAGAGTACTAGGGTCTGAGTCCCAGGTACTAGTATTTTTGAGAGCTTCTCAGGTGAGTAAGGTAGAACCAGAGATAATTCGAGACATCTAGTTCTAAATCTCAACTCTATGCCTTTCTATTTATCCATAATTTACCAAGCTACTTTTCTTCATTGATGCTTAGTTTCCTACCTATAAAGTGGGCTAGTCACCCCAGTTTCCAGATTGTTGTGAGGATTACATAAATATAAAATTAAATACATGGGATAGTGCCTCACATTGAAGGAAGTAAATAAATGTAAATTTTTATGAATATCCATAGCAAATCTGTGGGAAGGAATCATATATATCCACCCCACAGGGCTGACCCAGAGCCTTGCATAAAGGAGGAACCAGTACATCCACACGAATTAGCAATAGAACCATACTATAATATAGAAGTCCCAAGTAAAAGCCACATTTAAATCATTGTCTCCTTTAGAACTATCTGCGGCCCATTCCCAACCCATGGGTATGTACATTAAAAAAAAAATCTAGACACAGACCTTGAACCTTTTACAGAAATGAACTCAAAATGAACCACAGAAGTAAATGATAATGTAAACTTATAAAACTCCCAGAAGATAATGTAGGAGAAAATCTAGATGACTTGGATATGGTAATGGCATTTTAGACATAAAACCATCAACATGATCCATGAGAGTAAAAATTGCTAAGCTGGAGTCCATTAAAACTGAAAACTTCTCTGTGAAGATAATGTCAAGAGAATGAGAAGACAGGCCCACATTGAAAGAAAACATTTGCAAAGAACACATTTGATAAAGGCCTGTTAATACAAAATGAACAGAGAATTAGCAAAATTCAACAGGGAGAAAACAACATGATTTTAAAATAGAACCAAATAGATACCAAAATAGACCTAAACAGACATCTCACCAAAGAAGATATACAGGGGGCAAGTAAGCATAGCAAAAAATAATTGCCATCACATGTTATTAGGGAATTGTGTATAAAATCAATGATGTCATACCACTGTATATCAATTAGCATAGCCAAAATCCAGAATATAAAGAACATCAAATACTGACAGGATATGGGACAAGAGGACTTCTCATTCATTGCTGTTGAGAATGCAAAATAGTACAGCCACCTTGGGAGGCAGTTTGGCCATTTTTCACAAAACTGCACATATTCTTACCATATGACCCTGCATTAGTGTTCCTTAATATTTACTCAAAGGGTTTGAAAATTATGTCTATACAAAAACCTGCACATGACTATTTATAGTAGCTGTCTTCATAATTATAAAAACTTAGAAGAAACCAAGGTGTCCTGTAGCCTGTCAGTGGACAAACTGTGGTATAGCCACACAATGGAATATTATTCAGTGAGAAAAAGAAACAAGCTATCAAGCCATGAAAAGACACAGAGAAAACTTAAATGCAAATCACTGAATAAAAGGATTCAATTTTTAAAAAGACTATATTTTACATTTTGTGTTTCTGTGTGGGTGCCAACTGATGAAATCTTTACTTAATATATACTAAATCGATCTTCTGTATATAAAGATAATTGAAAATGAATCTTGATGTGAATGGAATAGGAGAGGGAGCAGGAGATGCGAAGGGTATGAGTGGGAGGGAAGCTATGTGGGGGGAGGAAGCCATTGTAATCTATAAACTGCATTTTGGAAATTTATATTTACTAAATAAAAATTAAAAAAAAAAGACTATGGGCAGGTGTTTAGCTTAGCAGTTAAGTCACTGGTTGAACACCTGCATTCTCCATAAGACAGCCTGGGTTAGATTCTTGGATCCAGCTTCTGATTCCAGCTTCCTGCTAATACAGACCCTAGGAGGCAACAGACAATGGTTCAAGTAGTTGGTTTCCTGCCACTCACGTCGGATACCTGAATTGAATTCCTGGCTCCCATCTTCCACCCAGCCAGTCCTGATCATGGCAGGCATTTAGGGGGTGAACTAGCAGATAGGAGCATCATTTCTCCTCTCTCTCCCTCCCTCCCTTTCTCTCTCTCTTTTTCTCTCTCTCTCTCTCTCCCTCCCTCCCTTTCTCTCTCTCTCTTTTTCTCTCTCTCTCTCTCTCCTCCTCACCCTTCCCTCTCTCCTTCACTTTCTTTTTCTCTCTCTCCCTCACCTTTGCCCTCACCATTATTCTGTCAACAAAGTAAATGAAGTTGTTAAAATCCTTTAAAAGAGGCCAGCGCCGTGGCTCACTAGGCTAATCCTCCACCTTGCGGCGCCAGCACACCGGGTTCTAGTCCCGGTCGGGGTGCTGGATTCTGTCCCGGTTGCCCCTCTTCCAGGCCAGCTCTCTGCTGTGGCCCGGGAGTGCAGTGGAGGATGGCCCAAGTCCTTGGGCCCTGCACCCCATGGGAGACCAGGAGAAGCACCTGGCTCCTGCCTTTGGATCAGCGCGGTGCGCCGGCCGCATCACCCCGGCCGCGGCGGCCATTGGAAGGTGAACCAACGGCAAAAGGAAGACCTTTCTCTCTGTCTCTCTCTCTCACTGTCCACTCTGCCTGTCAAAAAAAAAAATCCTTTAAAAGTGTACATACTAGATCATTCCAACTACATGACATTCTGGAAAAAGCAAAATCATAAAGACAACATAAAAATCAGTAGTTTCCAGAGAGAGAGAAATAAATGGACAAATCAGAGAATTTTTAGGGCAATGAAACTAACTCTGTGTGGTACTACAATGGTGGATACATGTCACTGTACATTTGTTACAAACTATAGGGTGTATACATCAAGAGTGAATGGACTTTGTTGATAATGATATAGGTTCATCAGTTAAATAAATGTGCCACTCCCAGGGGAATACTGATATTGTGGGAAAGTATACAACTGTAGACACAAGAGGTATATAGAAAATTCCTACTTTCTGATCAATTTTCTGTGAACCTAAAAATGCTCTACAAAATAAGATTTATTAATTAAAAATAAAACTGGTGTTCTACTTCCTTTATGAAGCTTTCCCTAGGTTGGCAGGGTCTGGGGAAGAAGCAGGCACCACATCCAGCTGGGAAGATGGCAAGAAGTAACTGAAACAGACCAAGAAGCAGGCAAGGAGACTGATGAGGAAGCTGAGGCTTTCAAGCAAAACAAAAAGAGGAGAAGCTCAAGGAGCTAAAAACAAAGGCTAAAGGGAAGTGTCCCTTAACCACAGGTGGATGGAGGAATCTGGGGGAAAAATTAAGCTGTTTCTTGTTCCTATGGTGAGCCTTGATTCCATTTCTGTCTAAACATCTGGATTTCCTGCCATAGCATCTTTTGCCACCATAGCAAAGACTAAGGGAGCCTGTAGTACATTCACAAATAAACTTTTGCAAAATAAAAAAAGGAAAAAAAATTGCCCTAATTACTCCTTTCTCCTAGTTGATTTATCCTAATGAATCAATAGCTTTCATGGATTTTTCCTTCTCTAAAAATATTTTAAACACTCGCAGGAATATTCTGGAACTTTGTCATCACCTAGCATGAATAATCTTCCTAACTACTAAAGTGATTCTGCTTGTCCTTTTTACCCCCAATGCATCTTAATCATCTCAAGAGAAATATTTTGTCAACAGCCTAGGTTCTGGAGTCAAACAGCTGAGATTCCACCATTTCTGAGATAGGACATAATCGAGTTCTTTAGCCCTCTAGTTTTAGACATGTGTTAAATGACATAACAATTCCACAGTTGGTCAAATATAGGAAAAACTTTTACATTTTAAAATATCTGAAGTCAAGATGCATTATTTACTCTGTAGTATGTTAAGGTTTAATTGGCCCTATGTTTTTCTTTTTTTAGTAATAGATAAAATAATGATGGGTATTATAATCCATGATGTCAGATTTCATGCAGTATTTTAGTATTTACCTTGCTGGGCTGTAAGGATAAATGAGCTTCCCAGTTTTTTTTTTTTTTTTCTAATATGAAGCCTAGCACCTGGCAAGTTTGACACCCACTGTGAGTTAGCCATTATTATTTATTAAACACTTATTGAATGAATGATGAGCTCACCCTGGGAGTGTGGGTGATGGCTGACACACACTGACATTAAGATGAGCTCTCCAAGATCCCTCAGAGATGAGAAAAGAGTTGAACTTGGCATCCTCATTATGATGGCGCAGATATCTGGTGTAACTTACCTGGCTGTGTGATGGGCACTTGGAGTCGCTTTCCACTATCCATGTCCTCCACACCCTGGGCTGAGATGGAGTAGGGCCGGCTGGCTTTGTTCTTAAATATGATCAAGATGGAGTCGCCCACCTCAGCGTGAATCATTGGGCCTAAAGGCAAACAGGCCTGTGTGCATTATCATTGCCCTTTCCACACTGGTGTAATTTAAATGTAGATATTTAACAAAGCAAAACAGAAGTTAGCATCTTCATTAGGTTACTTCCTTTAGAGGACAGCATTGTGTAGTGTTAAATATCACATAGTGTTTGACCATGGGACCAAGCTGAGTTTGAATAAATACTCCTTCACTTATTAGGTCTTGGATGATTCTTATAATCTCCCTGAATCTCAATTTTCTCATCTGTAAAATGTGTGTAATGATAATCTTCTCATGAGATTACAGTAAAGATTAAATAAGATAATGTATGAGAAGTGCTATTTCAGTACATCGAAGCACAGTAAGTGCTCAATAAATGCTTAACTCTTTCCTGTTGCTGAGAAATGATCCCAGAGAAATCCATACCCACGTGATGTGGTGTCTCAGTTATAAACCTCATGTGTAAACCCTTTGATAAGTCTGAAATTGCTCATTGTCAAATAAATGGAAAGGAGAAGGAGGATCCAGGGAAATATAAGGGCCAAATAAGAAGACATTGATTTACGATCAAGACAATGATTTCGCCAATGCATGTCTAACACTCTTTCTCAATAGACGGATTCCTTGAGACATGCAATCTTAGTTCCTCACATCTGCACATTTCTGTTGCAAGCAACCAGCCTGTGTGCCAAGGGAGATGAGCCTGTGCCAGCATGCCTGTGGCTGGAAGCCTCTCCCCTTACAGTGCTCAGAACAGGCACACCCACACTGGTGGAGCCTCATAATCCCAGAGGCTTCTTGAGGCCCTGTTTCGTGATCAGTAGACTCCCACTTTGGAAGCACCTCAGACCTGATCCCTGTGGTCCTCTCCTGAGTATTTTGTGCCTTCACCAGCCGTAGAGGGATTCACTCACAGTCAGTGGTCTGGCCTCATCCATCCATTCTTCACTGATTTAAGTCATGGTTTTAATAGCTTTTCTGAAAAACCCACTAAAGGCATAAGTAATTTTAAAATTTGCTGGGCTATTACTCTCTTCAGAATCAAATACTTAGCATGAATCAGGAAGTGTATGAACGTAACTCTTTTCTATGACAAAGCTAGACAGAATGCTATGCATATTTTAAGCAATACATTCTACTATAGTGACATATTAAAATCATTATTTGTACACTTATTACCATGGAAATTGCACGTGCCTTGGTGGACTGGTGAGTAGGAGCAAATGCCTTTACTGTGCAACAGGCTGCTGGGAGCAGAAATGAGTCAAGGTGTGGCTGCCACGTGCCCTTTGGGCAATTCTAGCAGCTCTGGCCTCTCTGTAAGCAGTAGAAAATGAGGGGCCAGGCCTCATGCTCCCCTGGCTGAAGTGCTGCTGGCCTTGCTTCCCATAAAATCATTCATTTGTGTGTTTTACTGAGCAGAACTGAAACAGGGCTCTTTGCGGGTACAGCCCACTCCCCTTAGCAGGACCAGTGCCCTTCTTCAGAGCTCTGTTGCTCTACATAGCTCAGATGAGTGACTGTTCCTTCAGGGCTGACTTACTCACTGGGTTGATAAACAAGCTCCTGTGCCAGAGTTAATAGGTCGGGGAGGATGGGGATGGGACATGCATATCAAGCTAGGAGCCATGGTATCTTATTTTAATCCTGAACAGCACCCTGTAAAGCCACACTGTCCATCTAAGTTCCCTTTGCATTAAGAAAAAAAAAAAATTAAACAAGAGTTCCAAAAAGTGTTCCAGGATAGCCATCAGCCTTAAGACTTCATCTTCAAGATGCGGTCAGGTCTAGTGACCCTCAGGTGAGGAAAAGTAGGGGAAAGAAAGCAGGGAGAGCTTATCTGATGGCTTGATGGCCAGCCCAGACATCTGGGGCTCCTAATAGCCCCAGGGGGATCTGAGAAGGCAATGAGTGAAGCCTCTAGAATGAAGCCAGAGCTTTCACCCTTCACATCCAACTCATATCAGGGGTTTGCTTTGTGTAGGCACTGTGCATGGAAGATCCAGGACCTGGAAGTGGTCATACAAAATACCTCCTGATGTTCTGAAATATTGAATTGTTTCAAAGTTAGCATTTTCTGACTCAGCGGAGGGGTAGGAAAGAAGGCTGGCCTGCCCTGATGATATTGACTCCTCTGGTGTGTTATTCCATAGTCTCACTGTGACCATTCTTTGCCTGAGCTGAGCATACAGCCTGCTCCCTGGTAATGGTAGAACCGGAAGTTGCTTCAGCTAGATGAATGCAGTGAGACTCCCCTCTGTCTCAGCCGCATGTGTGCATGTGTGTGTGTGTGCATACACACAGGCACGTGCGTGCTTGGGGCTGACAGTGCGTGGCTGAAATCTGTGCCATACCCAGCAGTTCTAAGTGCTGCTCTCGCGGCGGTCGGGCTTTGATCTCCACAAATTCTCCATTCGTGTACTCCCTGTAAACCACCTTCTTATACTGAGAGCCAATCCAGTTTTCAGTATGGTTCATGAATATGTCTCCATGTCTGCAAATCACAAGCATTGGAAGTTAAACTCGTTAGAAGGTGGGAAATCCTCAAGTGCTTCTGAGGGACTCGGGGTGCTCCAGAGAAGTGCTCCCCAAACCCAGTTATGAGCAGGGTCTCCCTGGGGAACTGGCCTTTTGTACCACTCTCTGGGAGTAGGGCCAGGAATCTGCACTTAGAGCTCACCACGTTCTGAGATGAGTAGCCCAGAACTGGCTCACAGCCCGCTCAGGAGCCATCGCTCTAAACACTGCTAGGGCTGAATAGGGTGAACCCTAGAGATTCTCGGGACCTCTGAAGTTGCATTTCTTTTCTCAGGACTAACTAACCTCCAGCACACGCCCATGTACACATGCACACCTATACCCACACACACTCACGCTTGCCCTCTATCACTTAGAATTCTTCCAGGTTTCACAAGTACCTTCTGATCATTCTGAACCTTATAATGCTTTTCAACTTTGAAAGATCTCAAGAAGGCCTACATGTTCTATATTATGCTTATACCTATGTACAAATACAAATACACTCAATTCTTGTAACTCATGGTGGTTAGGTTCTAGAAAGTCTCTGAGAACATATATATACATAAATATATGAATTTATATAGCTTATTGCTTATCTTTAAAATAAAACATATATTATATAAATTGAATATATATTATATATAACATATAAATACATATATAAATTAAATATACATATAAATTAAAAGTCAGAAAGATAGAGATATCCAGTACATAAGTTCACTCCCCAAATGCCTGCAACAGCTGGGCTAGGACAGGCTGAAGCTAGGAGCATGAAACAGTCTGGGTCTCCCATGTGGGTGGCAGGAATCTAAGGATTTCAGTCTTCATCTGCTGCCTCCCAAGGTGTGCTGCAGGAAGCTGGATCAGAAGCAAAGGAGCAGGACTCAAACCAGGCATTCCAATATGGAATGGCCTTAACAGCTGAGCCAAACACCCATCCTGGAGTTGGGGGGTAGGATATTTTTTTAAACAGTGAAATCATCCATATAAAGTAAAAATACATAAAACTTGTACCCTTAAATAGACTCAAAAATGACACTTGTGTCTAGTATGAGAGCTGAAGCATATATATGTACTCAACAAGGTAGATCCCCACAGGAGATAGATTTAAAATCCATCCGTTCGGGGCTGGTGGTGTGGCATAGCAGAAAAAACTGCCGCATGTAATGCCAGCATTCCATATTGGCACCAGTTTGAGTCCCAGCTGCTCCACTTCCAATCCAGCTCCCTACTAATGTGCCCAGGAAAGCAGCAGAAGATGGCCCAAGTCTTTGGGCTCCTGTGCCCGTGTGGGAGACCTGGAAGAAGTTCCTGGCTCCTGGCTTCGATCTGTCCCATTCCTGGCCATTGTATCCACTTGGGGAGTGAACTAGCAGATGAAAGGTCTCTTTCTCTCTAACTCTCTCTAACTCTCTCTCTCTCTCTCTCTCTCTCTCTCTCTCTCTCTGACTGTGCCTTTAAAACACATAAAATAAATCTTCAAAATAAAATTAAGCCTATCCATTCAATCTCCCTAACACAGTGAGTCTCATACCCTTCCACTTCCTCCCTTAACTGCCTGCTTTCTAACCCCAGCCACCTCCATCACTGACCTGTGTTGACTGTAACTGTGTTTATCATTCTCCCCAGCATGAGCACTCCTCCCTCCCTCTATTCTTTACACTGCAGGTAGAGTGATCCTAAGCTCTAAGTTTGGTACAAGTTTCTCCTTGGTCAACCTTTTTGTGGTTTCCCACTGACAAACTCAACTTGGGTTTTGAACTCCCTCCACTATTGACTTTGTCACCTCCCCAGCTTCCTTTCCCATCCTGGCCCTACATACCCTGCACTCTAGTCATTCTGAGCATTTCCTCTCTCTTTAAAAATTTTTTTACTGATTGATTTTTATTTTATTTGAGATTAACAGACAGAGATCTTCTAACTTATGGTTCACTCTCCAAATGCCTGCAACAGCTGAATCTGGGCCAGGCCAAAGCCAGGAGCTAGGAACTCAATCTGTCTCCCACATGTGGAAAGCAGAGACTCAAGCACTTGAGCCATCACCTACTAACTCCCAGGCTGCACATAGCAAGAAGCTGGAACAGAAGTGGTGCCAAGACTCAAACCAAGGCACACTGATAAGGGAAGTGGATGTCCCAAACTGCAACTTAACCACTGTGTCAAACCCCAAGGACATTCATCCTCTTGAACATCAACTGCTCTGCCCTTTACCCCCCAGGCCCTCATGCACATTGCTCCCTCTGCCAAGAACATGGTGCTCACTTCTTCCACTGACCACCTAACCTGTTCTTGCCTTTCCCCAAGGTGAGGCTGTGCACTGCCACCATGAGCTCCCACTGACTGCACTGCCCTCTCAGAGAGTGCCTCTTTTCATATGTTTCTTCTAACATCTTCCCCATGGACAGTGAATTCTGTATGGGAAAGGACTTTGTCTTTTTCCACACTGTTTTATCAATGCTTTGCAGAATGCCCAGCATAGCAACTGTTTAATAAACTCATATATAGAGACCCAACTACTTGAGCCACCCAGATGGGAGACACAGATGAGTTCCTGGTTCCTGGCTTTGCCCTGACCCAGCCCCAGCTTTTGCAGGCATTTAGGATGTGAACCGGTGGATAGGAGCTCTCCCCGTTTCTGCCTTAATAAAATATTTAATAAATAAATTTTTAAAGAGATTAGGAACAACAATGTGTAGTGTAATTTGTGTGTGTTACAACCTTAGAAGGTTCCTATAAGATATGGGGAGGGAAGAATTGTGGGGAGGGGCCTGGGGTAGATGGTAAGAAAGGACAAAGAGGAACAGTGGCATGAAAAAAACACATAGTACGCTGGAGAGAACACAGCTCAGTCTTTCAAAGATCTCTGTTCCATTCCAGCTCTACCGGTGAGTAGTGGAAGGGCCTGTTTGCACCTGACTCTCCTCGTCTGTATATCAGCACACTACTGCCAAGCAGCAGGTTGTTGTGACATGGAAGATACTGGGGAAGAGGTCTGCAGTCTCTGCCTAACTTCTTGGCTTAGCTCTATTCTTCTGCACACTGGGGAGTTTGGTTCCCGGACTTTACAGCTTAGGGCAGTAGAGGATGAATATTCCATGCCTGCTCCCCACACAGCACTGCTGATTCTTTGGCATTTGGCTGGCTGACAGCACTGTCAAGGGAGAGTCAATCTTGTGGACTTACAGTGCCTACTGCAGAGACCTGTTCTTCCTCACCCAGTTCAGGGATCTCTCTGAAGACAATGGCCACCTATCCTCCGTGGTTCTCCACCTGCTGGGTCCATTTGGCCAACGGCTTATCCTTGGCTCCCCTTCCCCAGGCTCCACAATCTATAGCTGCCTATCCTTTCACAGGATCTTTGCCTCCAGTGACCCCATTGGTCTTCCCAGCCCCGCTATCACTGTGGGGTCTGCCTCTTTCCCTAGACCTTAGCACACAGCACACTCACACCAAGGCACACCCATTCACGTGAACCAGCACCTGTGGCAAGGGTGCCCTCAAGATAACCCCGGACTTCCTATCAGGGGTAAAGATGGGCAGTTTCCCTAACTTTCCATGATGGTAGGGAAGAGCCTCTGTCTGCTCTAACTGTGCAGATAAAACCGGGTCATTGTTAGGGTTCCACCTTTGATAAAGGCCTACAGAGCATGCGCAATCCCACCGAAGAGACTTGGCGGCTTCGCTGGCGGTACCTTTCCCCTCCTGCGTCCAAGTGCTGCTTTTCGAACTCCCAGTTTTTGTTAGGGGCATAATCCCATTCTACCTCTTCAGCGGCGATGTAAAAGGTTCTTATCATCCCGTATGGCTGTTCAGAAGGGTCCTTGTTGCCACAGCTGTTGACTTCATAGATCTGAGCCATGCCCCTCGCGAAGTGGTGCAAGGTGGAACAGAACACCTTGAAAATGCCTGAAAGAGAAAGGCTTGGCCTTGTGTGTGGTGCTCGATTGTTGTGTGTGTGTGTGTGTGTGTGTGTGTGTTCTTTTTTTAACAAATCTGTATGTTTATTCCAAAATCAATAAACAGTAGGGTGGGGTTTTTTAATAATCAATTTTATAATATTTTATTATCAGGCCTCTATAAGAATAAATGACTTGGGGCTGGCACTGTGGCACAGCAGGTTAAAGCCCCAGCCTAAAGCATCAGCATCCCACATGCACACCAGTTCGAGTCCTGGCTGCTCCACTTCCAATCCAGCTCTCTGCTATGGCCTGGGAAAGCAGTAGAAGATGGCCCAAGTCTCTGGGCTCCTGCACCAGTGTGGGAGACCTGGAAGAAGCTCCTGGCTCTTGACTTCAGATGGGCTCAGCTCCGACCATTTTTTTTCGACCATTTGGGGAGTGAACCAGCAGATGGAAGACCTCTCTCTCTCTGTGTCTCTACTTCTCTCTGTAACTCTTTCAAATAAATCAAAATAAATCTTTTTAAAAAAGAATAAATTACTTCAAACATATTTATTTCTGGTGCCAGAAATGTCATCTGAAATTCATTTGAGTAGAAAAATAAACCCCATATGGATGCTGGTTCTAGTCCCAGCTGCTCCTCTTCCAGTCCAGCTCTCTGCTGTGGCCTGAGAAAGCAGTGGAAGATGGCCCAAGTCTTTGGGACCCTGCACCCATGTGGGAGACTGGGAGGAGGATCAGCGTAGCTCCCGCCATTGTGGCCATTTGGAGAGTGAACCAACAGACGGAGGAGCTTTCTCTCTGTCTCTCCCTCTCACTGTCTGTAACTCTACCTCTCAAATAAATAAATAAAATTTAAAAGAAAGAAAGAAATGTAGTCTGTCTTTCTCCCTCCCTCCCCCTCCTTTCTTTCTTTCTTTCTTTGTCAAAAAGTGACTTCTCAGAATCTTTCCTATGACACATACCTGTTGGAAGAGTCATTCCTGGAAAATCACTGTAGGTGTGACTCTCTTAGCCCAACACAGTTTAAAATGAACTAATCACCTGTAGGTTTAATATTCTAGACAAAGTTCAAATTAGGACACATTTATGAGGTCATACATTTTTTCCTAAAGAAGTTTATAAACTACAGAGCACAATAAATATGTAAGGTATTATTAAAGTCAAATGTATTCCTTCAATAAGCCTTTTCATTTCCAATGGTAGATCTATATTATCCCAGACAAAAAGGAACAAGAGAAAAGAAAAATTAACTAGGGTTCTTTATGTAAAACTATAATCATGTCTGAATGAAAATCATGTAATATTTTACACTGAATTTCCTAGTTATTTTGGCATCAGGGAAATAATCCTAATTGAACCCTTCATAAAATTATATAAAATAAAATTATGAAAAACTCCCAATGGAATTACTGGATCAATGAATCTTTTCTAATAGACCCTATTTTTAGAGGTGAGTGATTACTGAGCCTCTCACTCACCATCTACAACACACAAAGAGAGCTATATCTTGTTCTATACCATACTTCTTGTCTAAATATTGCCAAACTACCCTTTCTGGATGAGCAAAATCTGTTGATCCAATTCATACCTGAGCACCACCATTGAATTGTATCCTCATAAGGAAGAGTCTTAGCACAAAGATTAAAGACAGACCTGGAAAGACCTTCCTCTGTGTATGATTTTTTTCCAGGCAGCCCATTATTTTTACATGTCCATCGTGGTTCTTCAATAGTCAAGAAATTGTAGTCTCCACGAACAAAGTGGAAATGTTTAAGTTGCAGCCTATAATCTACCCACATTTTGAGTATCCTTCTTAACTTATAGGTAAGGAACAGGAATTAGTAAAATGATCGAGCATTTAAGTAGTCACAGATTTATGCTTATCATCAAACATAAACCAGAAAACATTGCTATGATGCACTTTAGAGCTCTGTAGGACACATAGGTAATATTCAAGGCATGAGAATAAGTAGCCAACTTCCTGAAATTATTCCATCTCTAGCTCTGAGTGCTGATTTCTATATATTAAAACAATTTGACAGTTTCGCAATACACTCCCCTCTTTGGTCTTGAAGAGTGCATTAAAATTCTTTTAAAAATTGGAGTCCAATGCATCTCTCAGTTTTTATGCCTCATAATTGATCACCTACACTAGTGTAGGGAGGTAGAACACTACAAGAAGTTTATAAAACAAAGGTTATGGAGCTCCTAGGCTCAGCTCTTAAGCATAGATTTTGAAGACCAAGGTTCAAAATCTTAACTGATGACAGAAAGGCATCTAAACTGTGGCTCTAGTGTGAAACAAAGAAATAGAATGTCCATTAATATATGAGATAGAGTTGGCAAGTATTCATCTCACATTGCATATTTGTTTCTTGTTAAGGCTGATGAAAAAGTTGGGTTGAAAAAACATGTTGAATACCCATAGTACTAGCCCTCCTCACGTTCATGAAGCAGTTAGCATATGCTAATCTATGTTGCTCTATGCCTTTTATAAAAATGCCCAAATTATCTAATTCACTTGGAGTCTCTAAGAGAAGAAGTTCCAGGTACTAACTTTTAATGGGACATCCAAGGACTGCAGACCCAATGCAGCTTGCCCAAGTGTGCCCAGCAGAATGAAAATAGAGGTATTCCCAAATGACTCATCAAGAGGGCACTGTCAGTCCCTAGATAAAGGGCACCAGGCATATACAGTTTGGCTGTATCCATAATCCAGAAGCATCCAGTGTGCTATCTTTGCCAGGTAGATGCTCCAGAGCAGTAACTAGAATAATGTCTATGCCTAAGAAGAGTAAACCTAACCTCCTTCTCAGGGCTGAATTTTTCATGGATATGAAGTCAAAAACATTCACATGGGATTTATGCAGCAAAGTAATTTAGTAAATTAGAAATTTAGAAATTTGTGGATGTCTCTTTATAAACTTTTTTTTAATTTAATCAAGAGGCAGAGAGACAGAAACAGGGTGGGGAATGGAGGAAGAGGGGCTGGGCTGGACTTGATCAGGGAGAAATCAGAAGCTCTGAATTCAATTTAGGTGCCCTGTGGGTGGCAGGAACCCAACTACTTGAGCCATCACCTGCTGTCTCCCAGAGTCTGCCCTGGCAGGAAGCTGGAATCAAAGGTCAGAGCTGAGACTAGAATCTGGATGCTCTGATACAGACTGCAGGCTAAATGCCCACACCTGGATGTCACTCGAGATGGTTCTCTTCTATCCTTTATCCTGTGTGTTTGGACTAGACTAGCTGGGATTCTCTGATTCCAATCAAGTTTGTATCTGTTTCAAACAAAGCCTACCAATTTCTTATGGGAGAGAATCCTACAAGGATGAGCCTCAGGATAGGAATTTGGTCACTTGGGTTGGCCCCACCAAGTTTACCTGCATGGTCTGGCTGCATGAACGCCGTGGTGGACATGTGGGGGAACAGAGCCAGGGAGTCACGGTGAGTCCCTCGCAGGTGGATGGTGTTCCCTTGAAAATAAACTCCATGCATGTCGGTGTCAGTGCCCATTCCAATCAGATGCCAGGAAACCCTATCCTTTTTGCACATGCTTAGGCCTGGCTGGTTGCCATACATATAGCCATTAACAGCTAAATGGAAGGAGAAATATAGAAAATATAGTCAGAGCCCACAACAATTATGTATACAGGCTGAAGACACAACCACCTTAGTGAAACATTATCTATGGATCTGGAGCAGGGGATTCAACAAGAAAATCTTTGTTACCAGAGAATAAATAGTACTAGAGAAAAGCCACATAGAGAATCAATTTAAAGTGGAGACCAAAATTAACTATGAATAGTGATAATGTACTAAAATTGTTGATGCTTTAGCAACACATACACAACAGTGCCAATTCTATGACTCAATAAGGAATAAGGTTATTTTTTTCTAGCACCACTTTTCTGAAAAAAAAAAAAAAGCTATTTCATGATGTCCTTCATTTTACATTTTATGTTTGCAGATCATGAAGAACATCATCCTTGTAAAAATATTTGCTGATGATTTTATCAATTTCCTCATATGCTTCTCTAAAACTCTTGCTATGAAAATCATTTTCTTTTGAAGTTTTTAGTCCTGTATCCTTCCTTGTTAAATGTCACTTCCTTTGTTACAAATGCACCTAATTCTGTCAAACTAGCATTTGCCAATGACTTTGCATTTGACCTGAGAATTATCAGATACTCCTTTGCTGATTTCATGAATTCTGCATCATTTGAAAGGTTGATATTATATTGCATTCCCTGCCAGGAGAGAGGGACATTTTGGGAGAGAGGAGGCACTAAATTTATAAAAGATTAGTCCTTAAGTAAATAAATTTGTTTTGTAACTTTCAGTTCCTTATCCCCAAAATAAGTGAAGGGCAATGATTACACACATATGCAGACCCTCTGCACTTGCACAGTGGCAAACTATTATCTTTTACATCAACTCCAACCCACTGATAGAGGCTAGTTGGCATAATGACTCAGGAACTTAGAAACCACATTTCCCCTGCGGGGATGAATGTCATGGTCAAACAGCAATGTCTGATGAGTGAGTCCACATAATCATGTCTCATGCTTGATGTTCTTTAAAGAAATAAATATTCTATCGCCCTCCTACTTCTTATGTGCCCAGCATAGGAAAGAACAACTATCACACACATGAATGACTTCTGTTATAATCCCACTGTCAAATAAAATTACTTCTAATTTTTGCGTCTGCAAAACCAGTGGTGCAGGGCTGGCACCATGGCGTAGCACCTAAAGCCACTGCCTGCAGTGCCAGCATCCCATAGGGGTGCTGAGTTTGAATCCCGGCTGCTCCACTTCCAATCCAGCTCTCTGCTATGGCCTGGGAAAGCAGTAGAAGATGGCCCAAGTCCTTGGGCCCCTGCACCCACGTGGGAGACCCAGAAGAAGCTCCTGGCTCCTGGTTCAGCCTGGCCCAATCCTGGCTGTTGTGGCCATCTGGGGAGTGAATCAGCAGATGGAAGTTAATTTCCTCTCTCTCTTCCTCTCCTCCCCTCCCTTTACCTCTGTCTCTCCTTCTCTTTCTATAACTCTTTCAAATAAAACAGATTTAAAATTCAGGCATGTTTTTTTCATAATGTGAATATTTGATGAGCTTTCATAGATATTATACTTGGTCCTAAAACAAGCAGTTCATATCTATTATCTTACAGTGCTTTCTTTTGGCACTTTTGTTGGCTACATGCTCTTGTAGGCATTGAGTTTGTACTCTTTCTCATCGCTCTGCCATCTTAGGTAATGTGCCCAAGACTAATGGGAATCCTGTGTTAGTCACATGCAATTACCATGTGGTTTGCTATTGTAACACTTGACATAAAGAGAGACAGGGACAGAGAACTGAGTAATTCCTCCCAAATAAAGATCTAGGATAGGAACAGATAGTAATTTACAAATTAACACTTTCACCAGTCACTCATATTACTTGATTAGAGATACTTAGCTGTATAATTGTTATCACCTGTCATCATTTGGGTTATTAGACTTGACATTATTGTGAAACGAAGGGAGAGTGGTAAGCCAGTAATTTTTTATACTTATGGCGTGCTGTGATCTTTGTTAGTTCAAAATTTGCATTACTGCATCTAAGGTTGATAAGCTGTTTTAGACATACTAATTAACTTTCAAAGCTCTGAGAGATAGAGAAGAGGGATTTTTTTTTTTAGATCTATTTACTTTATTTGAAAGAGTGATAGAGAAAAAAGGAGAGACAGAGATCTTCCATCCTCTGGTTCACTCTCCAGATGGCCACAATGGCTAGGGCTGGGCCAAGCCAAACCCAGGAGCCAGGAGCCAGGAGCCCCACCCGGGTCTCCCACATGGTAGGCAGGGACGCAAACACTTGGACAATCTTCTGTTGCTTTTTCCAGACCAACAGAATGGGGCTGGATCAGAAGCAGAGCAGCTGAGACTTCAACCAGCACCCATATAGGATGTCAGTGTTACAAGTGGCGGCTTTACCAGCTACACTATGACATGCCCCTATAGAAAAGTTTTGCCATCCCTCATGAACCTGAAGCCATGAAATATCTATATGACCAAGAACAGTACCCAAGCAATCAAAATTAATATATTATTTAGAACATCTTCATTTCAAATGCACAAAGTCTTTCATTTGCAGGAGGGAAAGCCATTCATATCATACCATGCATTCTGTTAGATTCCATGAACTCCTTGTCTTCTTTGTCAACACTGTATGGATACCAGGTAAACCTCTGAATGTTTTCATCAATATACCTGCTCAGATTCTCATCAAAGACTGTGAAGAGTAGGTGGAATTCCTTGTCTATCCCTTTCTAAAGAGAAGAAAGAAATGAATACATAGTGGATTAGGGCTGATTAATACTAGTCATGGAGCCACTGGATCATTGTGTATATCAGGATTCTGAACATGATTCTGATGAATTCTTTCCACATCTAGAAAATTCCTCTTTCTCATTATATCCTTCCCTCTTTCCACATGACTTCCTCCAAGGAAGTAAGTCTCTGCTCAGCAGCCTTTCTACTCTGATTCGCCTGCTGTCAGGCTGGTCCTCAGTCATTTTCTCCTTATCAAGACCTCACACCCCAGCTCCAACCCCTCTGTCTCTCTGACTTCATCCCCTGCTCTTCCCACTTAGCTGGCTCCAGCCACACTGGCCTTTTGCTCTTTCATGAACCTACAAACCTCCCTACCTGCCTAGAAGACCCCTGACCAAGTTCATACCAATAGAAGCCTAACACATGGTAGGTGTTTCCTAAGTATTCATTGCATTAGAAATAACTTTCTATCTGAACAATTGGATTTCTCCCTCAGCCAAATTCCAGATATAGGGTGTTTAAGGTTACTTTTTTTCATGAATTTTATATAAGCAGACTAATCATGAATTGTATTTAGCTTATATAACAATTTCCATAAACACTAAGATACTTCTAGCAAATTTCAGTTACCTCTGTATGCACATAGCTGGAGCAAAGTCAGAACTACCTCACAAACATTTTCTGGCGTTTGCTGTCCTTGGTTCAGATATTTAGCTGGTAAGAAGCAAGACAGCATTTGAGAAAATAACAAAGTTGGATGGTCAAAGCCCTGTTTTACTAATGACTTTCCAGGGATATCATTCAGTGTTTCTGAGCCTCAATTTTTTCAGTTTTAATGTGTTGGCAATCATTCTGCTTTACTTAATATGATTATGGAAGTACATTATAAATATTTATTATATACACCATAGATATTTCCATGATTGGGCCTTCTTGAAGGAAAATGTAAATCTGAGGTAGAATAAGATACTTTGTGTCCCCTCAACCTAGAAATTCCTTTGATCACAGAAATGGGTCTATACTATGATAAACATTATAAAATATACCTTTTAAGTAAATTGCCTTGTGATTTGTGATTGATAGAATTGGTGAAGTAAATGGGTAAATGAATGGATGCTTTCCCTTTAATAAATATGTTTAACATTGTGTAGACAAAGCTTGAAATGCTATGCTTTGCCACACTATGCTTTGCCACACGCCTCTAACTCAGGTCTTAACAAAAAGTTATCAACATGCTTTCTTTTTCCTTTATCATAGTGATGAACTGCCAGTCTACGACAGTAAGATACAGTGGTTCTTGGTCATGGCTACGCATTAAAATCATCCAGAGATTCTGATTTAATTTGTCTGGAGCATCTCAATCAGGTGGTGCTAAGGTGTGGGTCAAGCCTGGAGAACCTTGTCCAGCAAGAAGAATCCCAATAGAATTCCATGAAGATCTCTGAAAATTCCAGAATCAAAACAATGCACAGGGGAAGAGAAACACTGTATTCCAGGAATAACAGGTATAAATCTAGGTTCCTGGGTGGGCATCAGTTAACTGTGCAAGTTCAGTTCCTTAATTTACAAAAAAATAGAATAGAACTCCCTTATGCAGAAGTCAGTTTCAAGAGAAACTACTTTTTGTAACTAATTCCTTATCGCTAGCTAATCTCCAGTTGGAGCACACCAATATCTCCCACATGCACCCTATGAAGAACTTAGTAACATTTGATGGCTTACCTGTGTGCCATCAGCATTGAGAACTCCCTTTTTACAAACTAGCAGAGGCCCCACAAGGCCAGCGCTGGTGTCCTTGATGGGTTCAACTGCTGAGAAGTACACATAGGTCAGACAGGGAGGATCATCAGCTGTCGGGCTTACACTCTCAGGCACTGTCCACCTATATGTAAAGGTTTCACCTGGTTTAACATGCGCGCCTGGTTTCAGAAACCCTGAGGAAATAGAAACAACCACTCAAAGCAATGTCCAAGAACTGTATACTTGTCAGATGGGTCTCCCAGGCCAGAGTGTCTCCCCCTGATGATAACATATTTTGTGGAAAGATGGTTGTGTTCTCTTAAGTATCCTACCAAGGGCGGGGCACTGCCCAAAGTCTGCTGTTTTATGAGATAGAAGCTTAAATCAAAGGATTATCTCCTTCATAGATTTCATATTATTTCTTACTCAAATTAACAGATTTAGCAAATATTAAGTTAGTTGTTCATTCAACAATTAAATGTCATAGAGTCCCTTCTAAATAGAATATATTACATTTGGCCCTATAGAAGATACCTTAAAAAGTTAAACAAGGAACTTATCTTTAAAGAGTTTGGAATCTGAGAAATTAAACTAGAAAATAACCCAAGAACACAATGGATTTCATAGTACAGCCCAAGGATTCACTCTGAAACTTTTCCAGTGCTTTGCAAAAAGGTGCCTGGAACATTTTCTTAGTTAAAAAAAAAAAAAAAAAGAAGGAAAATATGAATATTTTGGTTTCTCTTCTCTGGTGTTCTTTCTGCTCATTCTGAGCATTTTGACCACAGTTCCAAGAAATATTGCTGCGATGGAAGAGGGCGAAGATATGTTTCAGAAGAGGGAATCTCTCCCTCCATTTCTTCTTTCTCCATCCCCTGATGTCATGACTGGGCCTGGCATCACACCTGGGCATGAGGAAGCATCCCTGATGGCCATGGTGTCTGTTGCCATGATGAGGACAGGAGTTCCCCAAGAGCAGTGTTATGAATGCAAGGATGGTTCCTGAAGCCATTGGGCCAAACCTGCTTTTCTTATGTACTGGAAGCCTGTGCTCCCTGCTCTGTGATGGGGAGAGCCTATATATGATGGCAGGCACATAACACAAGTTTTAAATAAGTATTTAGAGAGAAAAACCCATGTGTGAGACTTTGATGTTACCAAAACATTGGAAATTAGATTACCCTCAGCCTCCAACCACAGAATCCAATGCACCTGCAGGAGAAGTGCTCTCCATCTCAGAGAAGTGGAAGTGACTGTGGAGGGAGCTTACTTTGAGATTTACTACATTCCTAAGGGAAATGGAAAGAGGGTAACATTTCCCAAGAACCTACAGTAAGTCAGACCCCTTCCTGAATTCTCTCCATCACTTTCCAAAGCCCAATTAGCTGAGTGTTATCATCCATATCTGATAGGAGAGAAGAATAACATTCAGAAAATTTGAGTAGTTGCCCGAGCTCTCAGGGCTAATGGTAAGGCTGAGATTTAAACCAAGGTCTCTCTAGTTCTAAGTCCTTAGCTTGCTCATACTGTGCTAGTACTAAATACCATCTTATTTCTTTAAGTGCAGGCTGAGACTTACCATCTACATTTGGGGCTGCATCAGATGCCTTGTCATAGAACACACCATGGGGCAGAATACTGTAGACCTTGTCAGCTTTGTTGGCAAATGTCACTAATATTGTGTCACCCACCTCTGCCCTGATAACTGGCCCTGGAAAGCATCAAACGGGGGAGGAGAAAAGGATGAAAAGGGACAAAATAAATGAAAAGGAGCAGAAGAATAGTTAATGTATGTACATGCATATGTCCAGCTAAAACATCTCTCCTGTTTCAAAATATGAGGATAGTTTTACTGTACCAAGAATTCCAAGATGGGCCTCTGTCCCAGAGAGTCTCTTTCTTTGAGTAAAGGTTGCATCAACATACTCCACATACTGAGCTTTCCAATATTTTCCTCCTATTCTGTTTTTCCCTTGTGAGAAGAAGAATTCTGAGTCACTGTGAAAAGACGTAGCAATCTGATTGAGAATATGTTTCAACACACCCACCAAATGCCTTAACTTTAGCATTTTGTTTTGTTATCTTTATTCCACTCTTGCACCTCTATCCCCATAAAAGACAGCTCAGGCTTCAGCAAAGTTCCCAGCAGTCATCAGGAAGCCTTCAGAGTCTTCAGAAGCTGGGTGATGCTCAAGCTCATTTCGATCTTAGCCATCACACTTGTTCACCTAGAGGCCCGGCAACGGAAGAAGTCACAGACAAATACTGCTTACTTACCAACACTGGCATCCCAGGATGGTGTCCTACAAAGTAACAAAGAGCTAACTGGTTTCCTTGCAGAATAAGCATCCCTCTAACTCTTGCTGATGTCAATATGAATAGTCTCTGCATATAGCAAGCTCACTGATCTGGCCAAAGTAAGGAACTAAGGGGCTAGTCAGCAAATAGCTTCAATAATGGAGAACATATCTTATAAACTTTACATATGAAGTATCAAATTTCAATTTTGTAAAGTGCAATCATATAAATTCTGCCTAAAACCATTTCTAATTATCTTATTACTACCAATGGCACAGTCACTCTTGCAGTCACGTAGACTTACTTTGTAAAAAATTTTTGTACCTTCCTTTTCAGCATCATTTTTTATCTGTTCTTTTCCTTTCCTCCTACCTCAACAAATCCAGCTCATGCCCTTATCACCCTGGGTTTGGACCATTATATGAACCTCCTAACTGCACATTGCACCCTTGTCTCACACAAACTCATTTTGTTTTCAGCATATACACCATTATGACATTAATCTCCAAAATGGTAAATTCCATTGGCATTCACCACCTCCAAAATCTTCGATTTTTCCCAAAGCCAATCAAATAAAGTTCAAAAGTATTAGCAATTAATACCTAGTTTCCTCTAATTCATTGCCTATTTCTATGGATAAATACCCAATTCCCTGTGCAAACCTTCCACTCCACTCATTCTGATTGTTTTAGCCACCTACTACATCTATTTGCTATTCACATAATTAAATTCCATCCTTCTTTGAGATCCTATATAACTCCCATTTCCTCTGTGAAGTGTTTCCTGGCTACCATTTCTGTTTCCAAACACCCAAAGAACTCACTGTCTGGATGACTAATCTTACTCTTATTTGTAGCTTGCAAAGATACTTCTCTTGTCTTGTAAACACAGATGCTTTCTCTGCCTACGAATAGGAAGGTCGTCTCAGACATCTTTATACCCTTTATGTGATCTAGTACCTTATGCTTTCATTTATTATATTTTAATCAATTGATTGAATATACTTTAATGTTTCATATTACAGAAGAAACTTCAGAATCCTACAAGGCTTCCATGACATAGCTGTAAATATTAATTCTCATTAATCCGTTTATGAAACAATAAACAGAAATCAATAGAAAATGTTGATATCACAAAGTTTTTTGTATATGGTTCACACAAATTCTTAGGCAAGGTGATTCAAGTGCTTCAGTTTGGTGAAAGAATGAATGCATGAATAACTGACTGAAATATGCAATTAAAGAAACATGGGGCTGGCACTGTGGCACAGTGTGTTAAAGCCCTGGCCTGAAGCGCCGGAATCCCATACGGACACTGGTTCTAGTCCCGGCTGCTGCTCTTCTGATCCAGCTCTCTGCTGTGGCCTGGGAAGGCAGTAGAAGATGGCCCAAGTCCTTGGGCCCCTGCACCCATGTGGGCGACCTAGAGGAGGCTCCTGGCTCCTGGCTTCGGATCAGCAAAACTCTGGCCGATGCCATCTGGGGAGTAGCCATCTCTGTCTCTACCTCTCTCTGTAACTCTGTCTTTCAAATAAGTAAAATAAATCTCTAAAAAAAGACTAATAAAAAATGTAAAAGAAACAAAAGTGTATGGTCACTGATCGGGAAATTTTTAAGACATTCCTTTAAATACAAAAGGATCAGAGAGTAACAACCATCATTCTTGGTATATTGCACTCTACATTTTTAAGTGCTTTTACAGACATTATTGCATATGATTCTGTAATAACCAGTTACAGGAGTTAACATCCATTTAATGAATTGCTAGATTCTATTAGGAAACAGTATGTACTATGGGAGTCCAGAGAGAAAATAATTAATTATGGTTGGGAGGTCAGGGGAGGCTGCATTTGAGAGGTGACATTAGGGTTAGGCTTTGAAGAAAAATTGACATTTTACTGGACGGGGAAAGTAAGGATATTCATAACTTACAAATCAGGCTGCCCATGAACTCAAAAGCTTATCTCCACTGAAGGAGAGTCTCATCTTATTTCCTCTTCAAGACTGCCTACTCTGCATGTACAAAGGCCTTATTCTAATCATTGTTAGCTTAGTATTTCTTGTGGCATTCTATCACTGCAATTTGCAGAAACTAGGTACTCAAGAAATGTTGAATGAATGAATGAGTGGTTCTAGTATTTGGATTTTGGCATCAGAGCACAGGTAATAACTACTCTGCCAGTCTCCACTGTTCCTAAATTACAGGGCTGAGAACTCCTTAAGCAGTAGCCTTATGCCATCAGAGCAGTGCCTAGAAAACTGATGAGATCAGAGGATTGGGAACACCGAAGAGTGCTTACCTGCCAGAGGCATTGAGGGGAAGACCACTAAATTTGTCATAGCCTTGAGGACCATAATCCCAAAGAACCTTCTCAGCTGCTATAAAGTAGCGCCTTTGATGACCCTTCACCTTGGAGTGAGACACATCACTTTTGCAGTTACCAACATTGTATTGCCCCAGCATCCCAGCTGCAGAACAAAAGACAATCACAAGGTGAGGTAAAAATGTGCACAAGATAAACCATCTAGGAACAGACTGATAGATTTGAAGCCAGGAACATTGACAATTTTGTACAAGAAACATAAAAAGTTAAAAACAAATGGTAAACAGTGAATAGGGGGATATTTTTAACATGTGACAAAAGATAAATATACCAATCACTTTTCAAAATAAAGAAGGGAGTAGGCTTTTTGCCCAGTGGTTAAGATGCTACTTGGGGCCAGCGCCATGGCTCACTACGCTAATCCTCTGCCTGCGGCGCCGGCACCCCAGATTCTAGTCCCGGTTGGGGCACCGGAATCTGTCTCGGTTGCTCCTCTTTCAGTCTAGTTCTCTGCTGTGGCCCGGGAAGGTAGTGGAGCATAGCCCAAGTCCTTGGGCCCTTTACCTGCATGGGAAACCAGGAGTTAGCATCTGGCTCCTGGCTTTGGATCAGCGCAGCGCACAGGCCGTGGTAGCCATTTGGGGGTGGGGGGTGAACCAATGGAAGGAAGATCTTTCTCTCTGTCTCTCTCTCTCTAACTCTGTCTGTCAAGTAAATAAATAAATAAATAATAAAATAAAAAAGATGCTACTTGGGAAAGATGCATTTTGATATTCATCAAAATGCAATGCCATTATCTCTATATAGGATTACTGATTTTAAAAATTGAATTATATGTATTTTCTAATGTTTCAACAATTTTTTTCTGCAGATATGGACAATTTAGGAAATACTATATTCCAGTGAATGTACAAAGAGCAGTTTATGTCCACAACTCCTGGCCGAATCTAGCAATCTTAACTAGTCTTCAGATGCTCACTTATGTCTTGATTTTAAAGCTACAATGTCTCCCAGGTTTAACAGCGTGAGAACCTTTAAGAAAAGGAAACGTGCCTTTTTTGTTTTAGTCTTCCCAGAAGCATACCCAGGGCATATTAACATAATACATAATTTATTATTTATATTAATTTATAATTATATTTACAACATACTTATAATTATTATTATTGCAGAAACAGAGACAGAGCTCCCATCTGCTGGTTCACTCCTCCAAATGCCTGCAACAGCCAGGGACTGGACCACGTCAAAATTGGGAGGCAGCAACTTAATCTAAATTTCCCATGTGGGTGACAGGGACTCAAACCATCACCTGCAACAGCTGGAATCGGAAGCCAGAGCTGAGCATCAGGCCCAGGCACTCCTTTATGGAATGTGGTCATCTTAACTGGGATCTCATCCACCAGGCCACTCACACCATAACTGATCAATTCTTGAGTTGAATTGATTTGGGATAAGCTAGCTGACTAACACTACCATCAGCTACATAGAGTTAATGGGAGCAGTTGTGTGTTATCAAAGCAGTCCTGAACAGCTGGATGCCTGCACCTGCACTATTGGCATAGTTAATAAGTTTATTGAGTGTCTATCTCACTGACATGTTTTTTTTTCTGTTCTTGTTTTCACCAACTTGGACCAGATTCTTTATGTGTCATAACTCTCGTGTTGCCAATGATTCTTAACTGGTGCTCAGTAGCCTGAATTTTTCCAGCAAATCATTTCTGTATACACATGTGGGGACTTCAAAAAGTTCACAGAAAGGCATATCATTTTTTAAAAAATAGAGATTTCAATTTTTTGCAATAAAATAATTTCTTTTAATCCTAGTTCCACAATGTTTTTTGAAGTACCCTCATATGTTAATCTTCCCATAATGCTGCACTGATTGCAGTAGGTCACTAGTCTACAACAGATTCCAGGACTTACAGTTGCCTTGACATTGAAAGGTCTTTTTCCAGCAAGGCCCATTCTGCTCCCCTGGGCTTCTGTCTCATCACTCCTCTCATATGAACCTTACCATCTAGCTGAGTAAGACCTATTCTAAGGAATCAAGACCACATCATTCAACAAGTCTCTAAGTTAATTAATATTTATTCAGAATGTATCATGGCCATGAGGACAGCTACAGCTCAAGGATTTTTTGTCTTAATATAAAAAACATTTTAATAGAGCAGTACAGAATGAGATGAGCTGATGCAATTGCTTACAAGAGCTGACTTTAAAGAAAAAAAAAAAGAATTGGGTAGCAGACTGGTCCAGTTTATCTAGAAAGTTCTAAAGTGCTAAAACTTTCTTATTTTATTTAGAGCCACTGAAAACGAGAATGCGATTTTCCTCTACCTGGAAAGCCCTCTTCCCTTCCTTGTCTAGTCATCTCCTGGCTATGTCAACACTCAGGTTAGGAGCCAGCTGCTCAGGAGATCTCTCTGCTTGTTCTAGAGCAACGGCAATGGCAACCTAAAAGCACTTATCTCAATCTTCCTCAAGTCATATTCATTTTGTAAATGTCTAATTGCTAGATTATAGGTTCTTTGAAGGTCTCATCATTCCCCACCTTGGTCATGGAAAAGTGATGAATATATATCTGTTGATAGGCTACCAAGTAAATGTGCATTGTGTTTTTCCATACCCTTAATGTTAAATCAAATAAGAATCTACCTAAATCACATGTTTGATGAGCACTTCCTCTGTGTGGTTTAGTTGTACCATTCTAAGCACACCACACACACACACCAGTCTTTGTCCTTCTTACCCTGCAGGTGGTCACTGACTTGGCAGGTTATCATCCACTTCCCAGGATTCACCACTATCATTTCAGTTGTGAGGAAAGTGGCTGGGAACAGGTTGACGACATCAGTCCGGTGCCCTCTGCTGATGAAGGTGTTACCGTAGAAATAGATGGAATGGATGTCTATCTCATTCCCCATTCCAAAGAGGTGCCAGGACACAGATTCACCCACACACATTTCAGGCTCAGGGAAGTTTCCAAAGAGGTATCCATTGAGGGCTGAAAGCAGAAGCACACTAGTGGGAGAGACTTCCCTGCAGAGGTGAGCAGGACCAGGAACAGAGAACATACTGGAAGATCAGTGCAAATCAATGGCTGTAATGTTGAAGAGCTTGACTCTCTAAAAACAAATGTCCCAGAAGGGAATGACAAGCTTTGCATTGCTCTTTTCTGAGAGAAAATACTCACTGAAAGTGAAGGTCAGCACACACTGAAAATAGCCCTGAGCCCAATAAAGGGGCCAGGCATAAACAGGAGGTTCAGTGCCCTCCTGTCCTCACCCATATTTGCCCCAGCACCAGGCAGTGCTCCTTAGAACTAGACACCAGCCTCACTCATCTTGCAGCTATCGGGACCCAACAAAGAAGCTGGCACAGAATTAAGTGACAAACCAGGCAGCAAGGACAGGAAATGAGTTGATTAGGAAGGATCTATAAGGCATGTTTGCATTTTGTTGCTTTAAGAAGCAGACAGGAGGGGCTGGCACTGTGACATAGCAGTTAAAAGCCACTGCATGTGGTGCTGGCATCCCACGTGGTTGCCAGTTCAAGACCCAGCTGCTCCACTTCCAATCCAGCTCTTTTCTATGACCTGGCAAATCAGTAGAAGATGGCCCAAGTCCTTGGGTCCCTGCACCCATGTGAGAGGTCTAGGGGAAGCTCCTGGCTCCTGGCTTCAGATTGGCACAGCTCCAGCTGTTTGTGGCCATCTAGGGAATGAACCAGCAGGTAGAAGACCTCTCTTTGTCTGTTTGTCTGTCTCTCTCTCTCTCTCTTTCTCTGCCTCTGTAACTCTGCCTTTCAAATGAATTAATAAATAGTTAAAGAAAAAAAAGAAGACAGGAAAAGCAGTTTTACTTGCTGTTGGGAGGGTAGAATCCACCATTAAGTCTGGCACCAAATAATACTTATAAACCATCAAAATAACAGCTTGCACTGAGTGAGTACAGAGAGAACTTGATTTAGAACAGTCAAAAGCCACAATATTCCTTCTTAAATTCCAATTGATTTTAAAAAAATTGTTATAATTGTTAAAAATCAATGTTAAGGGGCCGGCTCCATGGCTCACTTGGTTAATCCTCTGCCTGCGGTGCTGGCATCCCATATGGGCGCCGGGTTCTAGTCCTGGTTGCTCCTCTTCCAATCCAGCTTTCTGCTGTGGCCTGGGAAGGCAGTGGAGGATGGCCCAGGTGCTTGGGCTCCTGCATCCACATGGGAGACCAGGAAGTAGCACCTGGCTTCATCTTGGCATAGCTCTGGCCATAGCAGCCATTTGGGGGGTGACCCAATGGAAGGAAGACCTTTCTCTCTGTCTCTCTCACTAACTCTATCTGTCAAATAAATTAAAAATATCATTGTTAAAAAATGATTCAGGAAGCACAATTAATTTAACTTAGTCCCATAAGTTTAAATAAATTAATCAATAATTCTTAGATTAATTATTTTTCTATAGTCTAGTTGTTCTTTAATTTTTTCTTCTGCATTTATAGAAGTTTTCCTTGCCAGTATTTAAGAAAGACTGATTGCACACAGGCTAGTTTTTATTTTAAATGTAGTCTGTGTTTCTTGCATAAATAACTCCTTTTTGTTGGACATTTTCACTTCAAAAGAATCAATACTAGGGGGCTGCGCGCGGAGCGGGCTCCGGAGGGAAGTCCCGAGACAAAGGGAAGCGCCGCCGCCGCCGCTCGGCCCCCGCTCGTCCGTGACGCTCGCCGGGCCGCGGCCGCCCGAGGACTGGAACATGTCGGGCATCGCCCTCAGCAGACTTGCCCAGGAGAGGAAGGCCTGGAGGAAGGACCACCCGTTTGGCTTCGTGGCTGTCCCAACCAAGAACCCCGACGGCACGATGAACCTCATGAACTGGGAGTGCGCCATCCCCGGCAAGAAGGGGACGCCGTGGGAGGGCGGCCTCTTCAAGCTGCGGATGCTTTTCAAAGACGACTACCCGTCCTCGCCCCCGAAATGTAAATTCGAGCCACCGCTGTTCCACCCCAACGTGTACCCCTCGGGCACGGTGTGCCTCTCCATCCTGGAGGAGGACAAGGACTGGCGGCCGGCCATCACCATCAAACAGATCTTGTTAGGAATCCAGGAACTGCTAAATGAACCAAACATCCAGGACCCGGCTCAGGCAGAGGCCTACACAATCTACTGCCAAAACAGAGTGGAATACGAGAAAAGGGTTCGAGCACAGGCCAAGAAGTTCGCGCCCTCGTAAGCGGAGCCCGCGCAGGAAGGGATGGGTGGCGAGGACTTGTTTACAGTCCAGGTCTGATTGCCCCGTACGCCGCTGGTCACCCGGGGTCGGGTGGGCGCCTGGGCCATGCCGCCGCTGTACCCGTGCTCGAATCTCACACAGGGTCTCTTCCTCCAGTCTTTTGTATTTTTGATTGTTATGTAAAACTCGCTTTTATTTAAAAAAAAAAAAAAAAAAAAGAATCAATACTAGTTATCTGCTAACACTAACCGATAGAATAAATAAAGGGGAGAGTGATCCAACATGGGAAGTGAGATACTCAGCAGACTCATAGAATGGCGGATGTCCTAAATAGCACTCTGGCCTCAGAATCAGCCCTAAAGGCACTCGGATCTGGCTGAAAAGCCCATGAGAGTATTTCAGGCATGGAAAGCCAAGACACTCTGGCAAAAAGATCTCTGTGAGTGAGAGCCCAGTGGAAAGAACAGGTCTTCAAAGAGGGAGGTGCCTTTCTCTGAAGGGAGGAGAGAACCTCCACTTTGACTATGACCGTGTCTAAACAAGATAAGAGTCGGAGAACTCAAGGGGCTTCCATAGCCTTGGAAACTCATGACTGGTGCATAGGGAGATTACTGATGCCATAAACAGGAGTGTCAATTTGTAAAGTCAACAACAGGAGTCACTGTGCACTTACTCCTCATGTAGGATCTCTGTCCTTAACGTGCTGTACACTGAGGCTTAATGCTATAACGAGTACTCAAACAGTATATTTCACTTTGTGTTTCTATGGGGGTGCAAATGATTGAAATCTTTACTTAATGTACACTAAACTGATCTTCTGTAAAAAAAAAAAAAAAAAGAAAGAAAGAAAAGAAATTATCAATTCCCAACTTGACTCTCACTGGGATTAAACATGACAATAGGTCTGATCTGATTTCATCATCATTTAAAAAAAATCATCTATTATTTTTCACTTTATGTTTCTGTGTGGGAGCAAACTGTTGAAATCCTTACTTAAGGTATACTAAGCTGATCTTCTGTATATTAAGATAATCGAAAATGAATCTTGATGTGAATGGAAGGGGAGAGGGAGTGGGAAAGGGGAGGGTTGTGGGTGGGAGGGACGGTATGGGGGGGGGAAGCCATTGTAACCCATGAGTTGTACTTTGGAAATTTATATTCATTAAATAAAAGATAAAAAAAAAGAATCAATACTAGTAAGAAGGATTATGTGTGCAATGGAGTCTTAATGAATCAGTGCCATTTAGTACTTCTCAGCAAATCTGAGATCATCACTCTCATTTTGTAAAGAGCAGGAATAACACGGGTCAAACAAGAGCTTGAATTTAGGACTTTGTTTAGCTCCACCCTTTACTTCATCTGAGCTTCTCTTCCTCATCCTCTCCTCTCCCTCACTTTCTTACCTGCTAAGACATTTGCCAACTACCCCACATCCAAGGTTGCAGAAATACCACTAGCAGGAAAAGAGCGTGTGTACTCAACGGAAACAGCATCCTGGCAATCACACCCCTATGTACTTAGAATCAACACAGCCAGATCAAAACTCATTTGCAGCCGGCACCACGGCTCACTAGGCTAATCCTCCACTTGCGGCGCCGGCACACTGGGTTCTAGTCCCGGTCGGGGCGCCGGATTCTGTCCCAGTTGCCCCTCTTCCAGGCCAGCTCTCTGCTGTGGCCAGGGAGTGCAGTGGAGGATGGCCCAAGTCCTTGGGCCCTGCACGCCATGGGAGACCAGGATAAGTACCTGGCTCCTGCCATCGGATCAGCACGGTGCGCCGGCCGCAGTGGCCATTGGAGGGTGAACCAATGGCAAAAGGAAGACCTTTACCTCTGTCTCTCTCACTGTCCACTCTGCATGTCAAAAAATAAAAATAAAAAAAATAAAAAAACTTATTTGCTATGAGGTTCTCCTAGGCAACTCCCTAGCACCTGTCACCAATCTGATCTTAGACAGTCACTGATGATCTCCCCGACCTTAGCTTCATCACCTGTAAATTGGAGAGGTCAGATGATCTTCAGCTCCTTCCCTTTCTCTTAGGATTTTTTGAAAAAAGATTTCTTTCCTTCTTTCTCCCTCCCTCCCTTCCTTCCTTCCTTCCTCCGTTCCTCCCTTCCTCCCTTCCTCCCTTCTTCCCTTCTTCCCTTCTTCCCTTCCTCCCTTCCTCCCTTCCTTCCTTTCTCTCTTTCTTTCAAAAGCCAGAGTTACAGAATGAGCAGGAGAGACAGAAACCAAGATGAGATCTTCCATCTATCACTTCACTCCCCAGATGGCCACCACAGCCAGCGGTGGGCCAGATGGAGGCCAGGAACCAGGGGTTTCATCTGGGCCTCCCACATGGGGGGCAGGGACTCAAACATTTGGGCCATCTTCTGCTGCTTTTCCTAGGCCATTAGCAGAGAGCTGGATGGGAAGTGGAGCAATCAGGATATGAACTAGCACCCATGTGGGATGCTGGTATCACAGGCAGCAACTTTATCAGTTACGCCACAGCACTGGTCCATTTCTCTTAGGGTTTTGTGATTATATTAGACTGCCTTAGGATGATTTTTAGAGACAGATAGACAAAAGATGGAGAAGATTTGTCAATGAATGAAGGGGGAGGTTTTCATTGAAGATTTCCCTTGCAATCACTAGAGATCACTTAATCCCCACATAAAATATTGCAGTAAGCCACTGTCCTCAACATAGGTGAGGTGAAGTGTACTGCCTCAGTTGAGGATAACTATGGAACTTGATTCTTTTAAGCACATACAGGGTCTGGTGTGTAGGGGAGGCTCCCTCAATACATTTTGTTGATTTTAAAATGTCTGGGAAACATAATAAATTCACAAATGTATATTTAAACTTTATGCATAGCATAGTTCTTACAGTTAGTAACCACCCAGAAAATGGTTACTGGGCAAAGTAGAGGTTGCAAAACATAGGATTATTATATACAGTGGTGGTTTCATTCTCCTTTTCCCCCTCTGTCAATCTAAATCCATTCATCCTATGGGCTTAGATTCAGTCCTAATTATCACATTGATCCCTGCATTTTCTGTGCCACATCTTTGTCCAAATTTCATAGCTAATTTCACATGTATCTAATGCCTTATCTTCTTCAAAGTGTTTTAGGTTCTGACATGTACTATGTCGTACATCATTTTCCAATCATTTTCATCACTAAGTATAAACTTTTCAAAACTAAGCGCAACATGTCTGAGTATTTTGCAGCCCCTATAGTACTTTATCATATAAAGGCACTGGTACATATTTGAGAACAAATGAAATACTCACCATGCATTTTATTACTTCTCTGGAAAACAGCATCTTTTTTGTCAACTGAATTGGGATCAGTGCAGAAATGTCTGATATTTTCATCAAGGTACCAGCTTTGGTTCTCATCCACCAGAGTAAACATAATAACAAACTCCCGATCCACATCAGTCCTTGTCCCTGAATATCTATTCAGTATACCTATCAGGCACAACCAAAGGAGTAAAGAAAAAGTCCAAGGTGAAATAAAACAAGGTGCGTGCTATGGTTCAGACATGGCTTATTCCCACCAAAACTCATGTTGAAATTTGATTCCCCGAGATGTGCAATTCAGGACATGCTCAAGCTGACTTACTTCAAACTGTAGAGTTAGAAACATACCAGGGGATTCCAATTCAATCCCATCAAGGTGGCATGTACCAATGCCATCTCATTAGTCCCGGTGATCAATTTCTATTCACAATTGATCATAATGATAGGACTAAGAGCCAAAGGGAGCACATAAACAAGACTAGTGTCTGCAAATACTAGCTGATAGAATCAAAAAGGGAGAGAACGATCCAACATGGGAAGCGAGATACACAGCAGACCCATAGAATGGCAGATGTCCTAAACAGCACTCTGGCCTCAGAATCAGCCCTTAAGGCACGCGGATCTGGCTGAAAAGCCCATGAGAGTATTACAGGCATGGAAAGCCAAAACACTCTGGTAAAAAAAAAAAAAAAAAAAAAAAAAAAAAAAAAAAAAACAAACACCACCACACACTCTACATGAAAGATCTCCGCAAGTGAGATCCCATTGAAAAGAACAGGTCATCAAAGAAGGAGGTACCTTTCTCTGAAGAGAGGAGAGAACTTCCACTCTGACTACGACCTTGCCTAAATATGATCAGAGTCGGAGAACTCAAAAGGCTTCCATAGCGTTGGCGACTCATGACAAGAGCCTAGGGTGATTACTGATGCCATAAACAAGAGTGTAAATTTGTTAAGTCAACAACAGCAGTCACTGTGCACTTACTCCTCATGTAAGATCTCTGTCCTTAATGTGCTGTACATTGTGATTTAATGCTATAACTAGTACTCAAACAGTATTTTTCACTTTGTGTTTCTATGTGGGTGCAAACTGTTGAAAGCTTTACTTAATGTATGCTAAACTGATTTTCTGTATATAAAGAGAATTGAAAATGAATCTTGATGTGAATGGAAGGGGAGAGGGAGAGGGAAAGGGGAGGGTTGCGGGTGGGAGGGAAGTTATGGGGGGGGAGCCATTGTAATCCATAAGCTGTACTTTGGTAATTTATATTCATTAAATAAAAGTTAAAAAAAAGAAAGAAAGAAATTTGATTCCCCATGTAGCAGGATTAAGAGGTGGTAGAACCTTCACAAGGTGATTGGATCATCGGGACTCCACCTTCACGGAGAGATTAATGCCGTTCCCTTGAGAGAGGGTTGGTTATCCTGAGAGTGGGTTGTATAGAGTGAGTTTGGCTCTCTCCTGCCTCCTTGTTTGCCAGGTGATATCTTCACAAATGCCTACTTGTCCTCCTGTTTTTCCACCGCACAGGGAGCAGCACATGGCCCACACCAGAAGCAGAGGAGCTGCTGGTCTCCTGCTCTTGGACTCCAGAAGCATGAACCCAAATAAACTTTGATCCTTTACAAATTATCCTTCTTCAGATATTTTGTTACAGTAACAGAAAATGGACTAAGACAGTGTTCTTTGCTTTCTGCCAAAGGTGTCAGACAAATATGAACTTTGTCAAAGATCTATAAATACAAGAATAACCCATAGTATAATAACAGCAAAGGGCCGTAATGCGAATGACAGAGTATAGAAAAGAAAAGTCACAAAACAGAAATCTTCACAACTTCACACTTCAAAATCTGGATGTCCCTGAAAGAAGTCAACCTAATTGACAGAGCAGAGACACACTGAATCAACTAATGCAAATAAAATAACAAACTGACTATTTGGCTGAAATAATGAAGTAAAAGACACCTTGAACATTTGACTAAATTTCTCACTTTTCTATGTATGGTGTTATGCAATGTAATTTTTCTCAGAAAAGCATACATAGTTCAGAATGATCATGACAATTTTTAGTGTTATCGCTCTCTGCTATGGCGTCAGATTTATCTTCCAAGTTAGAAGAATGTCCCTAACCTCAGAAAATTTGGAAGAAGAGCCAATGGGTGGAGCAAGGGAGGTGGGTGAATTCATGACCTCAAAATTATTCACAATTTGAAAACATCAGGTATCTGGGATAAAGGGTGCAGTGGAGTTGGTGGCCTCCTTACCTCCCTTACACACCAGCAGGGGGCCTATTAGCCCAGAGCAGATGTCCTTGGGTGCATCGATGTGTGAATGGTACACCCAGGTCAGGCAGTTGGCATCCGCTGGAGCAGGTGCATATTCTTCTCTCACTGGCCAGACATAGGTGTAGTTTTTGCCAGGAGGAACCATGTCATCATTCTTGTTCCTTCCAGATGTTCCATCTGGATATAGGGCTCCTTCCAAGAAAAAGATGAAACATAGTTAAAACACAGATATCACGTGTTATCATAGAAAAGGCCAGAGCTTTGGAATCAAACATAACTGAATTTAAATTTATTTGCTAAAGGATATGAGAGAAGTTCCTTAAATTCTTAATGCCTTTGTTTTCTATTAGTAAAACTAGAAGGTTGTTTATTCTTGCGGGAATATGAGAACTAAATGAGAGAATGTGTACAGGGTATTTTTTCCCAGACACAGGAACTTAATAAATGTTCAGTATCATAACTTTCTGATGGAGCTACTGTACCAATCAGGAAGACTCAATTCACCTCACTTAGCATCAACTCAAGAAGGGAAGGAGAAGCAGCAGAAGACATGATGAACACTTCTTAGGGACTTATAACAGGTTCAGCACCTGTACAGGTGCACAGAGAAATGAGAAGGAAGGATAAGACACTTCCTCCTCTTAAGGTTTTACAGTTCTGTTGGGCAGATCAGAGTATGTGCCATGAATACATGGGGCACACTGATAAGAAAGCAGAATGGCATGTAGAATGTAACTCACCTCTGTCTGCCATTCACTGTCAGAAATCTGAAAATTATGATGCTGGCTCCTTCCTTCCATCCACAGTTCTCCCATCCTGTTGGTAGAACTGATCCCCACAGCACCGCCAATCAGCCAATCAACCACATGTCAATGACTCCCACGTTCATCTCCAGCCTGGACATCAACTCTGAACTCGACACTGATATCTAACTACCCACCTGACATCTCAAAGAGATCTCAAATGCAACACTTCCCATGGAATATTATCTCTTCTCCCAAGCCTGATCCTCAGCCACTGCCTCCTTTCCCAGTGAAAGACAACACCAGTATCCAACATCAGAAGCCAGAAACAAAACAAGCATTCTTATCTTCAGGCTCCTCCCCCTTCTCCCCCATTTCCAAACCACCACAGGTCCTGCCCCTGCTTCTTCTCAAATCCATCCATTTCCACCCATCCCCACCATCACAACTACAGTCCACACTACTAACATCTCTCTTCTGACTTCTGAAATAAACTCCTGGCTGGCTCCTCCATGTATTTTGCCTCTCTGATCCATTTTTCAAGCAATAGCAAGAGTGATCTTTTCCAATCTCAAATTTGATTACATTGTTCCCTGATTAAAATGATCCCATGGCTTTCCATCAATGTTGAGATGAACGTTAAGTATGGGATGAAGGTCAAAGCATGGCCTGGCTCAGGTAATCTTAAACTCCCTGCATTAGATCAGTTCTCTGAAACACATCTACACAGAATAAAAGGAAGCCCAATTCATGCTTTCGTTTATAGCCACTGAAGTTAGAATGCCTAGGATAAAATCCTTTCTCCATCATGTGTTGGCTATGGAATCAGGGCAAGTTCCTTCTTTTCTATGAGTCTCAGTTTCTTAATTGTAAGATGACAGTAATTATAGGTGTACGCCACAGAGTCACTGGGGCTTATATTATACAATATTTGTAAGGCACTTATCACAGTGTCTGGTATATAGTAATCATTTCATAAACACCAATTACTATTTATTCAAGCTTTTTATTATTGTTTTTAATTATACAAGGGTACTTCAAAAAGTTCATGGAAGCTGGAGTTAAAAAATAAGCTTATTTTGATGCAAAATTGCTGAAATCCATTCATAGTTCTTTTCATAATACACATTTTCCATAAAATTTTTGAAGATCCTTAAAATCCATGGTTTTCAAATGTGTGCAAGTGTGTGTGTGTTTACAGGTATATACTCTGTGTGTGTGTGTGTGTGTGTGTGTGTGATTGCTTGGTTAATTTCTGTCTCCTGTGTTAGACTGTAAGTTCTATGAAAGCAACTACCAGGCAACTTTTTGCTCATTATGGTATCCACATGGTCAACTCCAAGGCTTACTGTGGTAGATGTTCAATATGTATCTGTTGAAAATTAGAGTGAGTGAGTTTGTCTTACACTGCCTTTATCCAAAGCCATATGAGTAAAATGCATGGCTTGGGAGATTCTGAATTTATATATTGAGAAGCTAAGAGTCAGGAGTAAGGGGGAGGGTGAGTAGGAGATGGGTGTGCCTTAGAGCTTCAATTTTTTTAAATTTTATTTTATTGGGCTGGCACTGCGGAGTAGCAGGTAAAGCCACTGCCTGCAGTTCTGGCATCCCATACAGATGCTGGTTCGAGTCCCAGCTGCTCCACTTCCAATCCAGCTCCCTGATAATGTGCCTGGGAAAGCAGCGGAGGATGGCCCAAGTGTTTGGGCTCCTGCACCCATGTGGGATACCCAGCAGAAGCTTCTGGCTCCTGGCTTTGAATTAGACCAGCTCTGACCATTGTAACCATTTGGGGAATGATTCAGTGAATGGAAGATCTCTCTCCTCTCTGTTTCCCCCCTACTCCTCGCCACCTGTAACTCTACTTTTCAAATAAATAAATATAACTTTAAAAAAAAATCCTCCACTTCCCCTCAAGAAGAAAAAATATTGCTCCTCAACAGTAGAGACAAGGGCTATAAATAATCATTAAATCTCAAATTGTCAATTTCACTCCTATACATTATATTTTTTGGTATTCTATTAGTCTTCTATTGAGCTCACTAATTTTACTCTGATTGTATGATACAAATCAACGCATATAGGAGCCGGTGCTGTGGCGCAGTGGGCTAATCCTCTGCGGGTGGTGCTGGCCTCCCATATAGAGCCGATTATAGTCCCAGTTGCTCCTCTTTTAATCCAGCTCTCTGCTATGGCCTAGGAAAGCAGTGGAAGATGATCCAAGTCCTTGGGCCCCTGCACCCACATAAGAGACCTGGAAGAAGCTCCTGGCTCTTGGCTTCAAATCAGCCCAGCTCCAGCCATTGTGGTCATTTGGGGAGTGAACCAGCAGATGGAAGACCTCTTTCTCTGCTTCTCCTCTCTAATGCTACCTCTCAAATAAATAAATAAAATATTTTAAAAAATCAGTGCATATAGCAATTGTTTATAGATTCTTCTACTCAGAATTTACTGAATGGGCCTTACTTTTGATGATTATTATTGGGAGTTGCTAATAGCTATTATTGAAATAAGGAGGTGGAGCCTCTGACGAACTACTGGTGCTGCCTCTCAAGATGAGGGCTACCACTTGGAATCCAAAATAAAGTGTAAATATAAAACAAGAAATGATTTGGAGGTGGATAGTTTATTAAGTTATCCTGAAAGGCATGCCCCAAAAGGGAGTTTAATAAGAATCTTGAACAATGGTACATTTACAACAAAAAAAAGAATAAAACACGATTACTAGGGTAAATACATTTTTAAAACTTGTAATATACAATTTTAAACTCATCATATTTTAGAATTTTGAGGACTGGTGGTATTTTGTAAGAAACAAGCTGGCTCATTAACAAATGGTAGAAGAATGAAATGAATAATCTTCCAAAGAAAAATTTACCAATTCCTGTCCAAAAAAAAAAGTACATATTTGCATATAACCAGTAAACATGCTCTAAAGAATTTACTATAGAGACACACTTGAAAATGTTTTTCAAAATACACAAACTGGAAGCAATCTAAATTACACATTCATACAGTGCAATATGGAAAAACTGTTAAAAACAATCTTTACATATGTGTTAATATGAGAAAATCCTGGGACTGCATGTGCCACAGCAGGTTAGGCTGCCATCAGCAATACTGCAATCCCATATGAGTGCCAGTTGGAGTTCCAGGTGCTTCACTTCTGATCCAGCTCCCTGCTATTATACCTGGGAAAGCAGCAGAAGATGGTCCAAGTGCTTGGGCCCCTGCCACCAAATTGGAGACTGGATAAAACTCCTGGCTCTGGACTTCAGCCTAGCCCAGCCCAATCTCGGCCATTGTGGCCATGTAGAGAGTAAATCAGCAGATGGAAGATCTCTCTCTCTATCCTTAATTCCCTTCCTCTCTTTACCTCTGTGACTCTGCCTTTCAATTTAAAATAAATAAAATCTTTAAAAATAGAAATTATTGAAGATAAAAGGTGAAAAATAGAAAGTATAATAGCATAGCATAATCTCTTCTGTATAAATGAACAAGGATATACACATATGTAGGCATAGACACGCATGTGTTAATACATTATAGAGAAATTTTCAAGAAAAATTTATAAGAAATTGTTAAAATGGCTGTCTTTATTAGAAGAGGTAAGTGAAAGGGAATTTTCTTCCAATCTTTTCAGTTCTCTGTAACCTTAAAAATTTGTAACTATGTTCATATACTACTTTTTTCCTTTGTCTTTGAAATTAATTTTAAAGAGATTGTAAAGAATCAGATTGTGTGCCATTTTTCCTTTCTTTATATACCATTTTGTATTTAAAAAACAATAATATTCATTTTCATAAATTGTACTAATGAGGCCAGGGTTGTGGCGCAGCAGGTTAAGCCACCATCTGCAGCACCGGCATCCCATTTGGGTGCTCATTCAACTCCCAGCTGCTCCACTTCCGATCCAGCTCTCTGCTGTGGCCTGGGAAAGCAGTGGAAGATGGCCCAAGTCCTTGGGCCCCTGCACCCACTTGGGAGACTTGGATGAAACTCTTAGCTCCTGGCTCCTGGCTCTGGTCTGGCCCAGCCCTGGCCATTGCAGCCATTTGGGAAATGAATCACTGAATGGAAGGTCACTCTTTCTGTCTCTCCTTCTCTCTCACTCTAACTCTGCCTTTCAAAGAAATAAATAAGTCTTTTTTAAATAGTAATAATGATTAAACATAGTTTAATGAAGATCAGAAAATACTAATTCATTTGGTCATTAAATGAAAAAATGCATGTAAGAACTCTAGCACTGGCCTTGGAATCCAGTAGCTGCTAGATTAAAGTTAGTTCCACCCATTTGCCCACTTCTAAGTTCCATTCTCTACCCCTCCCCTTGATGACTGTTGGAGGTAGCAATTGTGTATCTACTCAACTGTCCTGCCCTATTAGCCAGGGTTGTGTCTGGGTCACAGTAAATACTAAGTTGCATTAAGCAGAGACCTCAACATTAAT